ATTATATTTTTACATGACCTCTAGTTTATTAAACCATCTGCCAATCCATGAAAAATACTGTCTGAACATAATGTAATATATGGTACTCGATTAACGAGTAAAATTGTTCCAAGAAGCGTGCGACTGCCGATAGAACGAATTTGTTCGATTAGAATAAAAGAATTAGATTATCCCTTTCAGAACCCCAAAAAATACACTTATAAAAAACAATTACAAAATACATTAATAATGTTTGAGCGGTACCAAGTATTGTTTTTATGTGCAATTGCAAGGTTATTATTATATAAACCCACCCTGACTACCTCGCATTAGTATAAGAAAAATAAAGATTTATAAAAGGATAACCACACTTTAAGCAAACTTAATTGTTGTATGTGCTAGATTAGTCTACCTGAAATGCCCCAACATAAGGAAAATTCCTTATGTGCTTAAAACAAACCAAAATTTAATTACACATTGTAACCCTTTGCAAAGAAATAAAAAATTTATTATTTATTCCATACTCCTCTCCTCCCACCAATCTGATGTCCAATCTTTCATTACCTAAATATTTTGTTATCCTCATCACCTTACACTTTCCTATGTTCACTTTTAATTTCCTTCTTTTACATACCCTACCAAACTCGTCCACTAACCTCTGCAACTTCTTTTCAGAATCTCCCAAAAGCACAACTCCCACTTTGTGTTAGATTCTTTATCTTTTAATCCCATGCCTCTTGCCAACACCTGAGCATTCACTTCACTTACAACCCCATCTATAAATATATTTAGCCATGGTGAAATCACACATCCCTCTCTAAGGTCTACTTTTACTGGAAAATAATTTCCCTCTCTCCTCCTACAAACTCTAACCTGAGCCTCAAGCTCCTTGTAAAAACTCTTCACTGCATTCAGCAGCCTACCTCTTATTCCATACATTTGCAACATCTGCCACATTGCCCCCCTATCCACCCAATCGTACACCTTTTCCAAATCCATAAATTTTGCAAAAACTTCTTTACCTTTATCTAAATAATGTTCACCCATACAGGAGGCCCTCCACATTCGCGAGGGTTAGGGGATCAAGAACCTCACGAATCTTGAAAATTCGCGAATGTTTGGTGTGCAAATATGATGTAGGGAAATATAATAATACTGTACTGTAGTGTTCGCAAATGTTTTGATACGCAAATAGTATATTGTAGGAAAATATAATAACAGTATTTACTTAGCCTAACAATACTGCTTCCTTAACCCTTTGAGGGTTTCGGCCGTACTAGTACGGCTTATGACCCAGGGTTTTTGACGTACTAGTACGCCTAAATTCTAGCACCCTCAAATCTAGTGGGAGAAAGCTGGTAGGCATACATATGAAAGAATGGGTCTATGTGGTCAGTGTGCGCAGTATAAAAAAAGTCCTGCAGCACACAGTGCATGAGAAAAAAACTTTGACCGTGTTTTTGGAATAAAACAGCAACTTTGCACTGTATTTTCGTATGGTATTTATTGTTGTATTTTAGTTTTCTTGGTCTCATTTTATAGAATGGAAGACATATTACAGAAATTGAGATGATTCTGACTGGTTTTACCTTGAAATTGAGCTCAAATTAGCAGAAATGTTCGATTTTTACCAAAGTTCAAAAGTAAACAAATCATGCCAAACGTCCAATACACATCAACTGGTGAGTCTAATATTCTTTCACAAGTGCACTGATATTATTTATACCATTTCTACACTAATGCAGCAGTCTGCATAACAGTAAATCTTCTATTTTTTGTAAGAATAAAAATTGAAAGTGGAAAGCCAAAGAAATATAAGAGGGGCCTGAGGATGTGACTAACGAACAGAGGAAATATTATCTTAGTGCCAGGAATGTCTTTCTTGTTTATTCTGGACCCTATTTGGAAATTGGCATCTTTTGAAATTTTTGTGAAATTGGCAAAATTGCTAAATTCTGACCACTGTATTGGATAGTTGAAATCAGTAAATGGGTGGTTTCTTGTACTCATTCAATAGAAATAATAGAGTTCTAGAGAAATAGTTATGATTTTTATCGACTAGTACACTGGAATTGGCCGAAAATAGGGCTCAAAGTGGGCAAAATCGCCGATGCGTAAACATCGTCGAGACCGCTAACTTCGCGACAGCATAATTCCGTTAGTTTTCCATTAAATTTCATACTTTTGGTGTCAATATGATCGGGAAAAGATTCTCTAGCTTTTCATAAGAATTTTTTTTTTTTTTTTTTAAATTTGGCCAACCTTGAGAACGAGTCTTGGAGAGGGCCTGTCGACCCTCAAAAGGTTAACCTATAGAGTGCACTGTGCTTTTGTTTACATTAAATAATTTTCCAATGGCAGAATTGCTCAAATAACCTGCCCTACATTTGTCTAGCAATTTCACCTCCTCCAGGTTCATGACTTTCTTTGAGCACTTAGGGGTTGGCTCATCAATAGCAACTGCTGCTTGCTTGGGGGCCATATTTGTACCACCACACAAACACACGTGTACGGTAGGACATGAACAGTAACTGGACAATGAGTGAGTGGCGGACTGGCAGGCTGCCGGTTAAGGGGGTAAGAGGGAGGGTAGTAGGGAGGCGGCGGGAAGTGTTTTCCCATACTTCTTTCCCACATGAGCATTCACGAAAGTTCGAAGCTCGCGAAAGTGGAACTCGCAAAAGTGGAGGGTTAGCTGTATGTTTCTCTGTGAACACTTGGTCTACAAACCCCCTATCCTTCCTAAAGCTTCCTTGTTCCTCTGCAATCCTGCTCTCCATCTTACTCTTAATTCTTTCAATAATAACTCTACCATGCACTTTACCAGGTATACTCAACAGGCTTTTTTTTTTTTTTTTTTTTCAACAACTCGGCCATCTCCCATCGAGGCAGGGTGACCCAAAAAAGAAAGAAAATCCCCAAAAAGAAAATACTTTCATCATCATTCAACACTTTCACCACACTCACACATTATCACTGTTTTCGCAGAGGTGCTCAGAATACAACAGTTTAGAAGCATATACGTATAAAGATACACAACATATCCCTCCAAACTGCCAATATCCCAAACCTTAACCCTTTGAGGGTCGACAGGCCCTCTCCGAAACTCGTTCTCAGGGTCGGCCAAATTTAAAAAAAAAAAAAAAAATTATTTTCTCTTATGAAAAGATAGAGAATCTTTTCCCGATCATAAAGACACCAAAAGTTTGAAATTTGATAGAAAACTTACGGAATTATGCTCTCGCAAAGTTAGCGGTCTCGGCGATGTTTACGCATCGGCGATTTTGCCCACTTTGAGCCCCATTTTCGGCCAATTTCACTGTACTAGTCGACAAAAAACATGAATATTTCGATAGAACTCCATTTTTTCTATCGAATGGGTGCAAGAAATCACTCATTTATGAAATTCTACTATCCAGTACAGTGGTCAGAATTTAGCAATTTTGCCAATTTTCACACAAATTTCAAAAGATGCCAATTTCCGAATAGGGTTCAGATAAACAAGAAAGACATTCCTGGCACTAAAATGACATTTCCTCTAGTCATAGTCATGTCTCAAGGCCCTGTTATATTCTTTTGCTTTCCACTTTGAATTTTTATTTTCACAAAAAATATAAGATTTACTGTTATGCAGACTACTGCATTAGTGTAAAAAATGGTATAAATATTATTGGTGCACTTGTGAAAGAATATTAGACTCACCAGTTGACATGTATTGCATGCTTGGCACGATTTGTTTACTTTTGAAGTTTGGTAAAAATCGAACATTTCTGCTACTTTGAGCTCAATTTCAAGGCACCTTTCTTTGTAAAACCAGTCAAAATCATCTCAATTTCTGTAATATGTCTTCCATTCTATAAAATGAGACCAAGAAAACTAGAATACAACAATAAATACCATACGAAAATACACTGCAAAGTCGCTGATTTATTAAAAAAAAATGGTCAAAGTTTTTTTTTCTCATTATGCACTGTGTGCTGCAGGATTTTTTTTAGACTGTGCACACTGACCACATAGACCCATTCTTTCATATGAAGGCCTACCAGCTTTCTCCCACTAGATTTGAGGCCGCTAGAATTTATGAGTACTAGTATGTCAAAAACCCCTACGCGTAAGACGTACTAGTACGACGAAAACCCTCAAAGGGTTAAAGATGAACCACTGGCCTCCACGTGGCAAGGTCTGGTAACTCAGAGATAACTCTGAGGCTGACAGTGGTCGCAAATAAATTTGAACGTAGTAGGTTGGTAGACAGCAACCACCCAGGGAGGTACTACCGTCCTGCCAAGTGAGTGTAAAACGAAAGCCTGTAATTGTTTTACATGATGGTAGGATTGCTGATGTCTTTTGTCTGTCTTATAAACATGCAAGATTACAGGTATGTCTTGCTACTTCTATTTACACTTAGGTCACACTACACATACATGTACACATTTATTTATACACACTCATCTGAATTTTCTTAGATTTTATCTTAATAGTCCTTGGTCTTATTACTTTTCCTTTTATATCCATGGGGAAGTGGAATAAGAATCTTTCCTCCGTAAGCCATGCGTGTTGTAAGAGTCAACTAAGATGCCGGGAACAATGGGCTAGTAACCCCTTTTCCTGTAAAGATTACTGTTAGTACTGTATTTTATACTGTAAGGTTTAGGATAAACAATGTGTACAACACAAATATTTGTTTATTTCCCAGAAATTTGGCATAAAAAACATGGTCGTAAGTCGAGTGGTCGTAAGTCGAGCAGGTCGTAAGTCGGATGGTAGGTGTATATACACACCCTTCTGGGTTTTCTGCTATTTTCTTTCTAGTTCTTGTTCTTATTTATTTCCTCTTATCTCCATGAGGAAGTGGAACAGAATTCTTCCTCCGTAAGCCATGCGTGTTGTAAGAGGCGACTAAAATGCCGGGAGCAAGGGGCTAGTAACCTCTTCTATATATATTACTAAATGTAAAAGGAGAAACTTTCGTTTTTCCTTTTGGGCCACCCCGCCTCGGTGGGACACAGCCGGTGTGTTGAAAGAAGATATACATACACACACCCTTCTGGGTTTTCTTCTATTTTTCTTACTAGTTCTTGTTCTTGTTTATTTCTACTTATCTCCATGGGGCAGTGGAACAGAATTCTTTCTCCGTAAGCCATGCGTGTCGTAAGAGGCGACTAAAATGCCGGGAGCAAGGGGCTAGTAACCTCTTCTCTTGTATATATTACTAAATGTAAAAGGAGAAACTTTCGTTTTTCCTTTTGGGCCACCCTGCCTTGGTGGGATACAGCTGGTGTGTACATACACATGCATGTACAAACACACACACACACACACCCCTCTGGGTTTTCTTCTATTTTCTTGCTAGTTCTTGTTCTTGTTTATTTCCTCTTTTCTCCAAGGGGAAGTGGAACAGAATTCTTCCTTCATAAGCCATGCATGTTGTAAGAGGCAACTAAAATGCCAGGAGCATTTTAGTCACCTCTATACATTACTAAAGTTAAAAAGAGAAACTTTTGTTTTTCTTTTTAGGCCACCCTGCCTCAGTGGGATATGGCTGGTTTGTTGAAAGAACACATATATATATACACACACACACACACATGCATATATATGTGCATATGTCTGCATAGACATGAGTATGTATGTATGCTTTGCATATGTATACATGTGTATGTGTATAATATTGTAATATATAACAATCAATCAGCAATACCTAGCAGACAATTCCTTAAGAGTTGTGACTTCAAACTATATATACGTATCAATATTCAGTGTATCTACAAAAATAATTTTTTCAAGGGATTTGTTTTCCCATTTATATTAGAGAAACCAATACAATAATCTCAATGAAAGTCACATATGTTATTCTACTATGAAATGACACACAGCAGATCACAGCATTTAAAAAGAGTTCAGCATAATATTTGATGTTAAAATCATTAGTAAATTTGAGGCTATAAAGGCCATGAAAATAATAAGTCCTCTAAGACACACTATTGAAATATTATTGAAAGTTTGAGGCCAACCAGAAGCAGCATTTTTTAGTTATCACACAGAACCCAATAATTCCAGTTTTTTTTTAACTACAGTGAAACTCCGGTTTTCATACAGTCCACATGTCATACAATTTGGATTTAGAACACTTTTATGGGCGAAATTTTGGTCCGGATTTCATACCTCAATCCGGAAATTGTACATATCATATGCATTCGCCTGCCCAGGAACGCCATCAGTCTGGCTTTGTCACTGGTTGAGTGAGCATTCATCCAAAACATTTCGCAATTTTTGTGCTTGTTTATCGATTGCGACTGTGAAATAAGCCACCATGGGCCCAAAGAAAGTTCCCAGTACCAGCCCTATGGAAAAGGTGAGAAACACGATAGAATTCAAGAAAGAGATTGTAGAAAAATACGTTTAGCCGAGTTTGCCAGGATGTGTGGGAAGTCGAAATCAACAATCTGTTCCATCCTAGAAAAGAAAGTAGAAATCAAGGAAGCTGAAGTTGCAAAAGGGGTACATGTGCTAACGAAACAGATCACAAACAATCGAAGATCTGGAGTTGTTGTTGTTGATGTGAATCAACAAGTAACAGGTCGCCTTCTTCAATATGCTAACAAGAGTCTTCAATAAAGGTATGTAATGTTCATTTGTCATTAAAATTGGTGTTTTATATTTATTTCTCATTGTTTTCTGTATGTAAAACTATACTAGTTATTCTTTAAAAATGTATTTTTTGTTAATATTTTTGGGTGTCTGGAACGGATTAATTGTATTTACATTATTTCTTATGGGAAATATTAATTTGGGTTTCGTATGTTTTGGTTTTAGACTGACTTTCTGGAACGGATTAAGTACGAAAACCGGAGTTCCACTGTATGTTCGAATATTGGCAAACTTTCATCAACACAGAATAAACTTACTGGGTACTGTACATGCATCATCAATTAAAGATTGAACCTAATCAAAAGAGGTATGTATATGAAGTATATTTAACAAGACTTATCAGGAAACAAGTTTCATAGTATTTTAAATATAAAATTGACATATGTGCACCTACACCTACACACTTCAATAATACTCAGCCTTTGTCTATGTAGGATACGTGTTGAATGTTTGAACCTAATTTTAAGAGGCTTTTTAAAATTAATGGACCCATTCTAAGAATCTTGGAATGGTCTATATAACATTGACCAGAGGGCAGCTACACAAACCGATAGTTGCATGAACAATTCCCTAGTTACAGTAACCCAGCAATGAAAATCTAAAGCTGATCAAATGAGGCATCCTCAAGGTATAAAAAATGAAAACTGAGGCAACCACTTCAAGGTATCCCTTCTGGTAAACCTACAAAATAAAGTCAAAAAGACCATTTTTAATTATTTTGACTTGAATATATAGTGTTCTGAAACATTGTTTATCAGTGTTCACATAAGTCTAATTTGACTACCAGCAATGCCTCAATTATTTTGCAAATGCCCATACTAAAGATTTTCACACTTGAAGGTTGGTAGAAAGTCTAAAAGATTTTGCATCAGGTCACCCAATTAAGAAAGGAACATTCCCAGAAATATAACTACAACAACAGTAACTGTTATCAAGAGTAACTGTTAATATTTACTAATACTGAACAAAATGCATAGCTATTAAACATATCTTTCTGTGAATACTGATGTTATACATCAAGCTGAATTCACTCTGAATATTTGTCAAGTCACCTCTTCTCACTGAGGAATGGTAATACTGGGTATTTGTAATAAGACCAATTACAATATTCCACCACTTGTCCCAATGTTTAAAATTCCAAGAAATCATCCAGTCAACAAGAAATACTGTGGAAAACCACAACAAATCTGGGAATGCCATTATTAATTTTCACGGGATAACTATTTTTACTACAAGTAAAGTTGCCTATCACAGCCACATCACTTTTATTCTTGTGCCAATTGTAGTGATTATTAGTCAAAAGTCAAGAGTAGGATCACATTAATATGTAAATATCAGATGGTTCCAGGAGATATTATTGCTAAATAAATTTTGTATTTAATGATTCATGAAGGATACCACCAAATTTTAACTAAAATTATGTGATGAATGGTTTGAAAAACCGACAAGTTGAAGATTGAGACACTTATGCAGCATATGGGAATCTTTATTCAGGAAACGTTTCGCCACACAGTGGCTTCATCAGTCCAATACAAAGAGGAAGGCGTAAGGAGAGGAGGAGAATGAGGTAATCAGTCCCTCAACCTGGAGTCGATCATTCTACAAGATTGATGGACTGAACACATCGACTCCAGGTTGAGGGACTGATTACCTCATTCTCCTCCTCTCCTTACGCCTTCCTCTTTGTATTGGACTGATGAAGCCACTGTGTGGCAAAACGTTTCCTGAATAAAGATTCCCATATGCTGCATAAGTGTCTCAATCTTCAACTAAAATTATGCTGATGCTTCTTAGCTTCTATTAAACTTACCAAGTTTGCAAAGGGGAATAGTTCAAAGAAATTGAAGCAAACATGTCCACAGCTTTAAGATACAGGATAATTGAATTTAACTGCTATCTGGAAATACTGTGATCATAATACACTCACCTAAAGAATTCGTTGTTAAAACTACAGAGATCCTTATTGCTAGTACTAAAACCATAAAAGTCACTGTACCACAGAGCTAAATAATTTAAATAAGTGATAAAATATGCCCATAATATTCATTTGCATATTTGACAATAACAAAGTAGTCATTACATCAATGCATCCTACTGTACATGACAAGTACAAAGCATCTAGTAAAATAACAGCACCAATATCCTATTACACAGTACTTCAACAGTGACTGTTTAAAGTGCTAATTTTCAAGAGGATAAATACTTAGCTATAAAAAACAGTATCATCAGTTCATACTGTAAATGCCTATGATAATCTAAAGTGTACAATAAAACAACTTTATTATGATGAATACATTAGATAAAAATAAAATCACTGCTAATATTGCTCAAGCAATGAATTTTTTTTATTAATTTGTACAGTAAACATTTTTGTATGCATGCATATACTGTACATATAAAATGTTATTAGTATCACTTTACAGTAGATCAGCTTACTGTAACACACTGTAAAAATCTATAAATAACTACAGTATGTGAAGCAATAAGATATCTTTCCATTGCTTATATAATGCAGAATACTGTAAACAGTAAAAGTATAATGTCTATTCCTCAAGTAGAGTACTGTGTATGTGTATTGAAACTAGATACCCAAGGAGAGAATTTGTTTAACAGCTCTGCTTTGCAGGATAATGTACTTTCTTTAACTGCATTGTATACAACCTTTAGAAGAAATTATGGAAGATCCACATGTCATAAGAATTCTACAATTCTCTGTCTATGTCACAGGGATCTCTACGTATCTGTTTTACTTGTATCGTGGGCGGCGGAAGATCCACAAGAAAATATTTTTAAATCTTCTCCAGCGGGACAGGGGTTTACTTCTGCCAGCAGGAACACCTTCGATTGCCTCCTTCTGTTTCTTTCTGATTTCCCTCACAAGCATGTGGAAAGCATCATCAACAAAGTGTCGTAAAGCTGCAGATGTTTCAAAAAAGGGGCAGCCCATAGAATGTGCAAGAGCTTGGCCCTCCTCTGTTGTAACCTGAAGATAATAAAAAAAAACTTTTATTTAAAAATGTTAAGTTACTTAAAATGGAGAAAATGTGGCAAACTAAGGTAAATTTGAACAATACATATACACTTAGAATAGAGCAAGAATTCATTAATACAATGTTTCACTTTCCTTGAGTGAAGTTATCTTTATAACTTTCTCTGCTCTGTCTTGGTATTATCTATCTCATCAGCATTCTGCTTTCCAACTAGCAGTAAGGTAAATTTCTCTATATTATTGAAGATATTTAGTCAGGTAATGACCTAAGGAATAAGGAAAATTAATGACTAGTTATTACAGAAGTTTTACTCTCATGAGAGACATTCAAGTCTTTACCCACTAAGTTATATGCTACTCATTTACTACCCATTTATTTTACAATTTTCATTTACCATAAAAAGCATATAAAGCCAAAAATCACCTTATTATAAGGCCTGTTTTCAAAAAATAGATATCTTGCAGTTAAGAATTTCCTCTTTCTAATGAAGATTTTTTCTTTTTAAGAAAATTGGTTGTGCTGCTTTCTTGATACTGGTCTTCAAAAATGGCCTAAAATTCTTGTACAATGAGGTCTGTGAGGGCATTTTTAGGTACCATTAGCATAGAAACTAAAAATGTTTGGAGTCTGATATTTTAGGATTGTGACAATGTCCACTTGGGTGGCTGGCTACAATAATGTCATACTAAAATAATGTTTTCCTTTAGAGATACATATAGGCAGCTGAATTCAAGATTCAATTTTATACAACAGATTTTTTGCCTACTTTGGCTTCATACCTGTGAAAAAAGTAAAAGTAAGTTTTAGGACTGCAATTTTTTAAATCAGCTCCAAAATTTCTATAGACATATCTACTTACACAACTTTTACTCTTCAAGATCTGCCACAGCAATAACCTGAATATTGTTGATTGTGTACAACAGGTTAGTGAAACTTTCACCTGCCTCCACTCCTTGTCATGAACTAAAATTTTCCCAAAGTTAGTTTGATACACATGCCAACCTGCACGTAAAATTTTATTGAAATTGGAGATGGTCAGGTGCGACAATTTACAAAATTGATCCACTTGATATGGAATGACCCAGCAGAGTTAGATTCCCATTCAGCTTTGAGTTTAATGGAAGAAGCAAAATCGTTAAGATCATTGATAAATGGTTGGAAGAGACTAAATGAAGGATTGCTTCATCTCCTTATACTTACTGTATGTCTCTTTTGAACTTATTCACCTTTAAGTGGATTTGAACTCCACTTTCTTTCAAGGTACATTTTACTCTCAAACCTTCGGAGTCACTATGGGCACTAATCTATCCCCTGTTCTTACTGACCTTTACACGGAATACAGTGGAACCTCAATATTTGTACATCCCTATACAGTAGGGTCCTGCTGTATGGTGTTCCACTAATACGGACATTTCAAATTATAACCAAAACTCTCTATATGGCTCCCCCCACCTGACTTTCTAATACGGTCACTGTGAGCCACCTGGTTTGTTTACATTCTCCATGAGCACGACTCTCCATTATGTCTGGAAACTTTAAAAAATTTCAATTGTTTTAACCCTTAAACTGTCCAAACGTAGATCTACGTTTTTTCAACATTTGAAAGTACAGTGGACCTTCGACATTCGATACTAATCCATTCCTGAGAGCTATCGAATGTCGAAAATATCGAAAGTCAAACTAATTTTCCCCATAAGAAATATATTTATTATTATTTTTTTTTTATTAACACACTGGCCGATTCCCACCAAGGCAGGGTGGCCCGAAAAAGAAAAACTTTCACCATCATTCACTCCATCACTGACTTGCCAGAAGGGTGCTTTACACTACAGTTTTTAAACTGCAACATTAACACCCCTCCTCAGAGTGCAGGCACTGTACTTCCCATCTCCAGGACTCAAGTCCGGCCTGCCGGTTTCCATGAATCCCTTCATAAATGTTACTTTGCTCACACTCCAAAAGCACGTCAAGTATTAAAAACCATTTGTCTCCATTCACTCCTATCAAACACGCTCATGCATGCCTGCTGGAAGTCCAAGCCCCTTGCACACAAAACCTCCTTTTACCCCCTCCCTCCAACCTTTCCTAGGCCGACCCCTACCCCGCCTTCCTTCCACTACAGACTGATACACTCTTGAAGTCATTCTGTTTCGCTCCATTCTCTCTACATGTCCGAACCACCTCAACAACCCCTCCTCAGCCCTCTGGACAACAGTTTTGGTAATCCCGCACCTCCTCCTAACTTCCAAACTACGAATTCTCTGCATTATATTCACACCACACATTGCCCTCAGACATGACATCTCCACTGCCTCCAGCCTTCTCCTCGCTGCAACATTCATCACCCATGTTTTACATCCATATAAGAGCGTTGGTAAAACTATACTCTCATACATTCCCCTCTTTGCCTCCAAGGACAAAGTTCTTTGTCTCCACAGACTCCTAAGTGCACCACTCACCCTTTTCACCTCATCAATTCTATGATTCACCTCATCTTTCATAGACCCATCCTCTGACACATCCACTCCCAAATATCTGAATACATTCACCTCCTCCATACTCTCTCCCTCCAATCTGATATCCAATCTTTCATCACCTAATCTTTTTGTTATCCTCATAACCTTACTCTTTCCTGTATTCACTTTTAATTTTCTTCTTTTGCAAACCCTACCAAATTCATCCACCAACCTCTGCAACTTCTCTTCAGAATCTCCCAAGAGCACAGTGTCATCAGCAAAGAGCAACTGTGACAACTCCCACTTTATGTGTGATTCTTTATCTTTTAACTCCACGCCTCTTGCCAAGACCCTCGCATTTACTTCTCTTACAACCCCATCTATAAATATATTAAACAACCACGGTGACATCACACATCCTTGTCTAAGGCCTACTTTTACTGGGAAATAATCTCCCTCTTTCCTACATACTCTAACTTGAGCCTCACTATCCTCGTAAAAACTCTTCACTGCTTTCAGTAACCTACCTCCTACACCATACACTTGCAACATCTGCCATATTGCCCCCCTATCCACTCTGTCATACGCCTTTTTCAAATCCATAAATGCCACAAAAACCTCTTTAGCCTTATCTAAATACTGTTCACTTATATGTTTCACTGTAAACACCTGGTCCACACACCCCCTACCTTTCCTAAAGCCTCGTTGTTCATCTGCTATCCTATTCTCCGTTTTACTCTTAATTCTTTCAATAATAACTCTACCATACACTTTACCAGGTATACTCAACAGACTTATCCCCCTATAATTTTTGCACTCTCTTTTGTCCCCTTTGCCTTTATACAAAGGAACTATGCATGCTCTCTGCCAATCCTTAGGTACCTTACCCTCTTCTATACATTTATTAAATAATTGCACTAACCACTCCAAAACTATATCCCCACCTGCTTTTAACATTTCTATCTTTATCCCATCAATCCTGGCTGCCTTACCCCCTTTCATTTTACCTACTGCCTCACGAACTTCCCCCACACTCACAATGGCTCTTCCTCACTCCTACAAGATGTTATTCCTCCTTGCCTATACAAGAAATCACAGCTTCCCTATCTTCATCAACATTTAACAATTCCTCAAACTATTCCCTCCATCTTCCCAATACCTCTAACTCTCCATTTAGTAACTCTCCTCTCCTATTTTTAACTGACAAATCCATTTGTTCTCTAGGCTTCCTTAACTTGTTAATCTCACTCCAAAACTTTTCTTATTTTCAACAAAATTTGTTGATAACATCTCACCCACTCTCTCATTTGCTCTCTTTTTACATTGCTTCACCACTCTCTTAACCTCTCTTTCTCCATATACTCTTCCCTCCATGCATCACTTCTACTTTGTAAAAACTTCTCATATGCTAACTTTTTCTCCCTTACTACTCTCTTTACATCATCATTCCACCAATCGCTCCTCTTCCCTCCCGCACCCACTTTCCTGTAACCACAAACTTCTGCTGAACACTCTAACACATTTTTAAACCTACCCCATACCTCTTCGACCCCATTGCCTATGCTCTCATTAGCCCATCTATCCTCCAATAGCTGTTTATATCTACCCTAACTGCCTCCTCTTTTAGTTTATAAACCTTCACCTCTCTCTTCCCTGATGCTTCTATTCTCCTTGTATCCCATCTACCTTTTACTCTCAGTGTAGCTACAACTAGAAAGTGATCTGATATATCTGTGGCCCCTCTATAAACATGTACATCCTGAAGTCTACTCAACAGTCTTTTATCTACCAATACATAATCCAACAAACTACTGTCATTTCGCCCTACATCATATCTTGTATACTTATTTATCCTCTTTTTCTTAAAATATGTATTACCTATAACTAAACCCCTTTCTATACAAAGTTCAATCAAAGGGCTCTCATTATCATTTACACCTGGCACCCAAACTTACCTACCACACCCTCTCTAAAAAGTTTCTCCTACTTTAGCATTCATGTCCCCTACCACAATTACTCTCTCACTTGGTTCAAAGGCTCCTATACATTCACTTAACATCTCCCAAAATCTCTCTCTCTCCTCTACATTCCTCTCTTCTCCAGGTGCATACACGCTTATTATGACTCACTTTTCGCATCCAACCTTTGCTTTAATCCACATAATCATTGAATTTACACATTCATATTCTCTTTTCTCTTTCCATAACTTATCCTTCAACATTACTGCTACCCCTTCCTTTGCTCTAACTCTCTCAGATACTCCAGATTTAATCCCATTTATTTCCCCCCACCGAAACTCCCCTACCCCCTTCAGCTTTGTTTCACTTAGGGCCAGGACATCCAACTTCTTTTCATTCATAACATCAGCAATCATCTGTTTCTTGTCATCCGCACTACATCCACGCACATTCAAGCATCCCAGTTTTATAAAGTTTTTCTTCTTCTCTTTTTTAGTAAATGTCTACAGGAATAACAAAAAAAGGCACAATACCGTGACTGGAACGATACACAAATAACCCGCACATAAAGGAGAGAAG